GAAATGCGTTAACGTTAAAAACCACATATCCCATGTTATTTTCCCATAGGGAAAACTCGTGCTATTCATTGTTTTCAGCATAATTTTGGTCATCGAAATTGGTTATCTTCAAAACTAGATTTACAATACCATTCTACTTTTGAAGAAGTTTGAGACCCTTTATTGAATAATCTTTTCAAGCATTAAAAAACAGAAAAAGAAGATCCTCTATGAGGAAATAGGTTCAACATTTTGAAAAAAATTTAGACAAGGAGTCCCTATTCATAATTTTTCGAACTGTTCGCGCGGTTGATGTTTTTATCATTATGGGTACGTCACTTGAAAGAAAGCATATTGTTTTAATAAAAAACACTGTATTTATGCCCAGGAAGAACTCATGGTTAAAGATATGACTATTTAAAATCACTTGCCATACTGCACATCGACCTTTGATTTCTTTTGTGTTTACTATTCAACTATTGAATGAGTGAATAGGGTGTAATTAGTTCAGCTTTAGTGCACCGCATGTGACAGGCGATCGTCTTTTGTGCCACACTGGTTTTGGATAGCTTGTCAAGTCTCAATATTTCTAAAACAATAGAAAAAGAATGCACTCTTCTTTGTTACAGCTGTATGTTCTTTAAAATAAACTACAGTTCATTCTACTGCGTTGCTACCTCAGTGGGGTTTAAGATATACTATTACAGGTAGCCTATTGCAACTACGTCCTCCTCAATTTCGATACCATTGATATCTGTTGTCGAGGCATCACGGATTTTTGATTGTCCAGCGCACATCATTTCATATATGTTGTTCTAAAACGGGCCATTTGGGACAAATTGTCAGCTTTTATTGGGGAAAACGTTTACTTGGTTCAAATTCCTATTAATGGTAATTCTCGTAATTGGAATCCTTGCACTTAGTGATTAACATGGCGAGTATAGCAATGTAACATCAATGGATGCAAATCAAATGTCTGATTAAATAAAAGCAAAATGTTTTGTATAAAACCTGGAGAGATCATTGTGGTTAGTGGAATAGAATACAAAAATATTGAAAGTGTAAAAGACCAAAAAGTGCTCAAAAAGTACATAGATAGAAACGTTTAACTGCCCATAATGGCAACTGCAATTCCCAGCTTTACACCTTCCCAAATAAGGATCTACTGAGCGCAAAGAAACTGTGACATTCCCTCTCTAGCGCAATTCAGAACCTCATATCACAAAACCATGAGACAGTTTAGTTTTGAGCTGAGAACATGATAATGGCCTAGTCACATAGCCCGGCCGATGAGGTTACGATGAGCCAGCGATGCAATTTTCACCGAACTCGACTGAACACCGGCCGGACACCGGCCGGACATCCGTGGCGTTTGTTGCTTAAAACCGCATCGGTGGTAGCTCGGTGGAATTCTAACTTCGGAGTTAATGGCCTAGTCACATAGCCCGGCCGATGTCCGGCATCGGTAGAGCTCGGTGGATTTTTTTGGTGCCACCGAGCTCTCCTCATCGGAAGCAGAGCTCGGTGACGTGAACGGACTCCGTCCGGACATCTTCAGGTACTATACTTTCCAAGGCTCTGTCCCACATCGGCCGGAGCTCGGTCGGAGCTCGGCCGGTGTCCGTTAAAAAAACCTCGTCCTCTGGTTGTCTCAGATGCACGGGACACCGACCGATACTCGGCCGTGCACCGGCCGACGTGTGTTCTGATGTGGTTACGATGGGGCTGCGATGAGGGAGCTCGGTGAGAGCCCGGTGAAATTTAACTCCGAAGTTAAAATTTCACCGAGCTGCCACCGATGCGGTTTTAAGCAACAAACGCCACGGATGTCCGGCCGGTGTCCGGCCGGTGTTCGGCCGAGTTCGGTGAAAATTGCATCGCTGGCTCATCGGAACCTCATCGGCCGGGCTATGTGACTAGGCCATAAATTTCACCGGGCTCTCACCGAGCTCCCTCATCATGTCATCGCAGCCCCATCGTAACCACATCGGAAAACACGTCGGCCGGTGCACGGCCGAGTATCGGCCGGTGTCTCGTGCATCTGAGACAAGAGGTTTTTTAACGGAAAGCGGCCGAGCTCCGACCGAGCTCCGGCCGATGTGGGACAGAGCATCGGCCGGTCACTGTTCAAAGCCCGTTTACAACCCGGCCGGCGATCGCACGGTGTCCTGTTACCTGCTCGGGTACCGGCCGTATTCCTTCCGATGTCCGGCCGACCTCCGGCCGGTAGTTGCTGCCACATCGGCAGAAAAAAACTACCATTTTGAGACAGACTCCGTACGGTCACCGGCCGGTGTTCGGTCGGTCGCCTGAAGATGTCCGGACGGAGTCCGTTCACGTCACCGAGCTCTGCTTCCGATGAGGAGAGCTCGGTGGCACCAAAAAAATCCACCGAGCTCTACCGATGCCGGACATCGGCCGGGCTATGTGACTAGGCCATAAGTATCAGGCCCGTAGCCAAAAAATCTTTCAAAATCTTGCAGTTTTTCACCATTCTGAGCACCTTTTATGTGATTGTCACAAGTGAACCCCCCCTGGAATTTTTCAAAAAGTGAACCCACTTGGCAAATCCTGGCTACGGGCCTGAGTATCGTAACAATTTTGTTAAGAGTTCATATATGTGTTCATCGTGAAAGAACACATTTATTTTAACCTGTACGACAAAACTCCTGCGCGTGGTCTTCCTATGAAAATAAATTTCAGACTAAGAATGAGAAAAACATAAGAAATATTGTCTCTGATAGTTTGTAGTTCTCTCGAATTGACAGAAACATGTTTCGCTGGATAAAATATTGTGGGCGTTAGTAGCTAAGTCTTTAAGGTTTAGGTTTCAGAAAAATGAAGTTATTCGAGTGTATAAAAAGGTTAGTTCGACGAGGTCTAATGCTTCCCTCGTGAACAAAATTAGCAAATATTTTGTATGATAGACTTGTGCTGATCTTGTTATAGCATTTTTCTGTAGATTCGTATTTGATTAAAATATAAAAGTATTCTGTAAATATCGCTAATCTAACTTATGATGAGTAGATTCACTGCGTCTTGTGGCAGTTCATAGCGATTCCGGATTCCAAAGCAGTCTGTTTAATATTAAATACATCTGAGAACTAAATCTAATGGGGAATGAATCGAGAGTTTTTTTGAAATGATTAATTGTTTTGCAATTGACATCGACGAAGCCCTCTGCAAGCTGAGCAATTACTAACATCCCAATATCTTTCTTAAAACACCTCTGTCAATAAAATATGAAATATACAGGGAATCATTAGGACAAATCCGTAATTACTTTTCCTTTTATCTACTTTTGTAATCTTATAAGAATCCCCTGGTATTCACAAAGGCTGTCAGGCTATACGGGGAGAATGCTATATGAATTCACATTCAGGCATACTAGTACAAGCTCTAATGAATCGACCTGTTATGAGTAAAAACAGGCAATTATTTCTTCAGATGTTAAAAAGTGATAAGAAACGCACTTTTGAATAGAGAGATGGTTACCTTTTGATAATATCACATTTCAGGTGTTAGAAGTAAATCAGGCGATTCTAAAGACCTCGTTTTACAGATATCTAAAAATATAAACCTTTGAGGCATCCCCTATAATTGACACGTCGTTCAAGTTTGAATCATAACAAATATCGTCCCTAAAGGGAATGTTCAAACAAATTCCAAGGCACTATACTAATATAACATACTTTTTATTCCACGAGAACTATCTGACTCAAATGACTCCCTCAGGAAAAACGTAACGAGTAAACAATTTTTCAAAAGGAGGGGGTAGTGTTACGTCGTTCAGACCTATTTCCAAGCACATGACAGATCATTAATATGCACGCCTTCTCGTTTATAAGTTCCAAGTGTATTAGCCTTATTTTTCATTCTAATCAACCTTCCTGCTCAACTGGAAACTTCCGCTCAAATTGATTTGATTTTAGTTTTAGCACTTAAGGAGACCCAATCTCTGGAAGACGAGGTTATTATGAAGACTTTTACACAACGCAATGAAATTTACATGATAAGGAAATGTTAACAAACTGTCACGTTGAAGAATTCAACATGATTATTGGCGTTTCATTATTTTTATAAAATTTTGCATCAATATTCAGCGCTAATTTTATACAGATTGATCGTCAGCTATTTTCCAACAAAAGTATCGACAACCGTAGTGTTTTTTGCTTCCAACAATCAATGCCCAAACGTCTCTTAGATGCGTGATGCGCCTGAGATATCTGCTCAAGCTCCAACCGCAGAACCTACATTGAAGGTATAATCACATTCAGAAAACACTAAATAACACATATATATATAACACATGTAGGAGATGGAGAGATACCCTGCGCGCAGAGTCTGAATAACGCTTCTTAAAAGAGAGCGTCGTCTTCGAACGAATGCATAAGGTATGGAGAGATGAATGAATGGCCACACCGTATATTTTTCATCCTAGTAAGGTTAAACAAAGTTCTATTTTACCAGAAAAACTCCTAAAAAAACATTTTGCTGGATATCACTCACTGCTTTCTGACATTTTCTCAAAAATGGCCAGTTCATTCCCCCAAATATGATTCCTGATAAGGATATATAATGAATAATGATTACTATATCAGGAGGAACATAGAAATTGAGTTAGAAACTAAAAAATTGGTCGCAGATATTTCATTAAAATTCTAAACTGAACACGTTATTTGGGTAATCTGTATGGCAAGGTCGATAGCATATAAAACCAAATGAAAAGCACCCATATGCATTTTCTTGTAAACTGGCTCAATTGTTGTTTTGTTGAATGCAGTTCATATACAGTGATGGGGTTAATATTTCATAAAAACTGGCAAACTATTATGTATTTTTATATGTTTATATCATTTTATTAACAAGACACCTGTTTCTCCTGGACTTAGATTACATTCACACTTGAGACAGGTGAAATAGGCCTGAAAAGACATCTCGGTGACAAATAATATTAATACAAATTACAAATAAAGGCCAGGAGCTACTTCAGTAGACATATGATTATTCAGAAGAATGGACGGAAATAAACTAATTTTATAAATCACCTCGGAGTCTATATCTAATTAACAAAGGATCATCGATCTAGATATGTTTGTTGATCTTGGTTACTTGTATCCAATTCCAACAGGGGTTCACACATCTCTGTGAATTTCACGTAGTGGTTAAGTTACACGTTTTTATGAGAACCTGTACGTGAGCGTGTAATATTTCGATCAGGGGATTACTGTCCCGCTCTCAAATCGCTTTTCCAAGGACCACTTTATACTATTATTTTCCGTATACAAAGTACCGTTATACTCAATCGGCCAAGTAAACAGTACAAATGGGAGAACTATACTATAGGACTATAATTATACGCGTTCACGTACTTGTTTTTTTTAAAGAACGGGTATCTTAACCGCATTATATTATCTTTTCAATTTCGAAATATTTTGAAATAAATAAACCTATGTATATATATCATAGACTATAATATCCGGGGGAAGATATTTTTTGTTCCAATTTATACAAATCGTTATTAGATCCCATATGGCATTTTTATTTATTCAAATAATGCACGGCCTCCATGCACTTTGTGTTTTTTACCGACCGCAAGGGTGATGAGCGCGGTGTACTACCTGCACTTGGCAGTAAAAATGGACTGTCAACGTTATCTATTTTGAAGCCACAATAAGGCTCGGTAGATCGTGTGCTTTTGATATCAGTGTCCTTTAACACAAATGAAGATGTGGACCCATCTCTTTTTATGACTAACATATATTGTTTACCATGGTGTTGGCCTTTGGTGTCGCACGGCCTGTATCTGCTATTGTCTCGACTATTTGGTCGTACTGTGCAGCACAAAGGAAACACCTTTTTCACCTCGTTTCTAAAGTGCTCATTCAGCCAACAATAGATAAATGGATTGTAGCAGACACTGCTGAGGGCGATCCAGTAACAGACGAAGAATGCGATGCTATTATGGCGGAATAACTCTGGACGAAGATCCGTGAGTAAATGATAAAGATTCAGAGGCATCCAACAAAGAGCGAACACTACAACGACCAATATCAACATTTTGATTGTCTTTCTTTTGCCTTTAGCTTGAGCCGTCTGCTGTCCATCGGTAGCCTCTCCCAACGGTCCGCGCAACCAAAGGAGTTTCACGATACGTCCATACGATACGGAAATGATCGCAAGAGGGATGCAATATTGAGCCAGGATCGTCGCTAATTTAATTCCCTTTGCGTATTTATCAGTTGGATTCGGATAGGCCTCTATACACCTGTCAACCTTATGGAGCAACGTGCTCCTCTGTTGAACCTTTGAGAATATCGCATATGGCAATGAAAGTGCGATGGCTAACATCCACACGATCGCCACCACGATCGTCCCCTGTTTCGTAGAGATACGTCTTTTTAGTGGGTGAATTATCACCCGATGTCGGTCCAGGGCTATACTGGCTAACGTGAACGTGGACACATACACAGAGACCATCAAACTGAAGTTTACTAAATGGCACATCACAGTGCCGAATGGCCATTCATGGGAGGCAAAGCGGGCAATGTTAAATGGAATATTTACAGTTGTGATGACAATATCCGCTATTGCGAGATTAGTGATGAAAAGGTTCGTCACCGTCCGCATTCGCCTATTTTTAATGATCACGTGACACACGAGAACATTTCCAAATAAAGACACAATGATTATAATTCCGAACGCAAGAATCAGTCCAACTGTTTCTCCACGGCCACGAGTGTTCTGTTGTTGCTCCATAATATCATAATATGAACTGTTCTTTTTATTCGCCGCTGCATTTCCGAGCGCTCTCGTTAGTGAGGTTGATGTATTCCCTACACCTTTAAGAGCATGGAGAAGATCACTTATCTTTACCGCTCCCTCCATTAAATCTGCCCTAATGTTCAATTTAATTCTTATTGGTATAAGCTTTTATAGTCTTTTTAGTCCAGGTGCACGGTTATTATCATCTCGTTGCTATGTTCGATAATTGTTAATAAAAATACTGTATTATGATTCGGCCATTCTCAGTACGTAACGTATATTAACTACTTTCTTCAAACATGGACATCTATCCTCGTTTTCAATGTTCCTTGATTAAAACCCTGAACACTGAACAGTCAGTCGTAATGGCAGGCCAACGCATCCGCAGTAACTCCACTGCATTTCTGATCGTGAGGAAATGTGTTTCATCAAGAACGTTCATAAGTAACTATGAATGATTGCCGTTAATGTTCCTACATTTGGCCATCCGTCACTCCACCCATTGTCTTCAATCTCCTAACAGTTGTATTTATCCCAATGCCGCTAATGTTCTTCCGATTGCGATCTACATCAATATTTTAGCATATTTATGGTCTTATATCACCTGGATATATATGGAATGGTGTTTAATATCCGACAAATCTTACATTTACGTCAGGAACGGATGCTTTTTTCTTTGGAATACAAATTACCGTCAATGTGCTTGTTAAATCAGCCTCTCTTTTTATCCATTTGGAATTGAATCTCACCATGTGCGACTTAAATAATTAGTTTATTAATTGATCTGTGTATCGCTGAAGTAAAACGATGCGGTGAAGTTGCAGCGAAACATACTTTTAATCTGACTTGGCATTCAGTTAATAGAGCTATATTCGTAGCAATGTAACATGAGCATTTATTTCATTTATTTCAGTTTGACGTGGACAGTTCGCCTATCCCTAAGCTCTGTGTGAATGTAGAATTTGCAAGCAATTATATTAAAAAACTAAACGAAGAAAGTATGCTACATAACCCTAATAATCCATCAATCTGTCTTGCTTGCGAATTCTGTTTTGTTTTTATAAAATCAGCGATAGTATGAAATATGAATTGTATTTATAACTCGTAAATCGCAACTTAACTACTTAGATTCACATGGCTTTCTCTATGGTATATATCAAGCATGTACGATTAAACTGCAATCAACTTGAAAACTTGTATGATGAAATTAAATCTTGTAATTATTAATATTCACCTACGTGTTTTACCGTCGGATATGGAAATAAATAACAATTTTTAATCTAAATCAGGGATCAGGTTGCAGTAACATTGGAGCGCAAATAGAATGATCGAGTATTAGCTTAAAATTAGCTTAACCAATGTCTTGTTCAACAAGTTATCATAAGTGAATATCTATGACACTAAACACGAAGAAGTCAAAGAAATTATGCTGTAATTGTAATTATCATTTTTTGTTGAATCCATTTACTATTTACTGTATTATTGATTAATGATATATAGCAACAATACAATTTAAGCGGATACAAAAGTCCTAGGAAAACATGCCAATACAATCAAAATATTCTGTCATAAATCTGGCCTGAGGTAATTGCTAAAATAAAACAATGCGTCTTGGGAAAAATAAAAAAAATCCATTGCCGATTAATGGCAAACTGGTAAGTCAGAAAACATCAACTGTAAGGATATCATATCATCTGATTAATTGAATTAAAGGATGTATATATTAATAAAAAGGGCTTAGAAAACGTTGAAAGTAGGCGTCATTGTACACGCTCCTACTCCGCCAATATTTTATAAATTCTCTGTTTCGTGGAATGAAAGCTGAGTATCCATATTAACATATGTTAATCACGGAGTTCAACCCAAACGCTCTACATGCACGACGGAGCGTTTCATTACTGAATCTAAATGACGAAACGCCCTGGGGTAAGAAAATTGGCGGGCGGAAATGATCAGCCGTCCAACGATAACGTCGCCGATAATGGGAATAAGAAATATGTGTTACTTATTTGGCACCATTCGATGGGTGTGATATTCGTGTTGTACGTGACTGGTTGTTGACGTTTGAAGCAATTTGGAAGAGCTGTACGAAGCAGTATGGTTATCAAAATTCATAAACGTATTTGTCATTCTACTGTTCAAAGCCACTTTTGTCGTAACGTATGATATGTAAGAGAAATGAGTGAAACAATACTTACGGGCATAGTGGGTCTTCATTACCCGCCATTTTATTTCGCTCCGCGTGTATGTAGGAGCGTTTGGGTTATACACTGAAAACATCTGAAAACATAGAATCAAATCCTCAGCTAAGGGCTGTTAATTATACTTTCAAGATATAATCCCAAAAATGGCAATGTTATAATAATTCTTCTGAGAAAATGAGAATTTTAGCAAGGGTGCATTGACTAAACATGGGGACATACATCATTGACCATTGACTTAGCGTGGGGATATCATCAGGTATGTCACCATGTTAAGTCAATGCACCCTTGCTGAACCTCGTTTTCTCAGAAGAACTCAAGTTGATCGAATCTCAACAAGTAGATTCCTGTTGGATAGTATTGCTAGAATCCATTTTCGAAAGTTAGAATAGGGGTTCTTAAACAGGACATTAAGGCCTTTTTGAATTTTTTGTTTAGTACTACAGGTCTTGAATCCAGGAAATGACTTTTCCCAACGATAATCCAGAAATTAGCATCAGAGTGGTGACAGTATTTGTTATCAATAATACAATAATAGAGTAATAAAACAGTCTAGATCTATGCGCAATGCATATATATTTGTTCCAATACATTTGTATCTCTCTTACCCCCCTATCACACCAAACTCGTTCTTACCCGTTCTTGCCAGTCCTACGAAAACGTCGTAAAACGGGCTCAATCTGGCTGTGGTCGGGAAATATGTCTGAAATAATTAGCTTCTTCGTTCTTAAACAGTCTTCAATACGTCCTTCTCGTTCGCAGTTCGTTCAGGTGGCACCACGTCGGTGTGCAACGTAGTAGAACGCGTCCCTTAGTCTAGAAGGTCAACATGACCTGATTACAGAACGTTATGGTCGCCATCGAATTTTGAATCGATTCAAAATTCTAAAATCACATTCCCGTCTGAGAACGATCATAAAGTTCGTAAATAGACCTTAGAAAGTTGCAGCTACGTTCATTCCGTTCGTACACAGTTTTGAAGAACGCAGTGGCAACTTGTTTGGTGTGATAGCTATATTTTTGCTAACTCGTTCATAAGCAGTGTTAAATACGTTCTCAATCAGTTTAAACCCGTTTGCAATTAGTTCTACCTCGTTCTCAACACGTCCTCAGACAATTCAACTCGTTGTTAAAACGTCCCTAGTAGGATTGAAGTACGACGGTTCCGTTCGTAGTACGTCCAGCTCGTCGTTAGTACGTTGTCACTCGTTCTAATTGTAGAACGTGACGACCACGAGAACATTTTGAGCATTGTCTAAGTTTTAGAGGACCTACCCGTTCGAGTACGTTCGATGAAGTTTGTTAATAGATCCCAAACGGTTCTTAGTAGGTCCAGTCCGTTCGTACACAGTTGAAGCCCGTTTTTGAGAACGTAGTGAGAACTAGTTTGGTGTGATAGTAGGGTAACCAAGCACCGGCGGATCCAGAAGCTAACAAGGGGGGGGGGGGGGCAAAGCAGATCAAATCAAATCAGGTGTAGAAATTTTCTTGGGCCCCTCATTCCAAAAGGTTGGCCCAAATAAGGCCCATTGTAATAATTGGGTCTAAAAAGGCCAAGGAATTCCCAAAAGCATATCTGTAAATAAATTCTCAACTTAAATTGAGCCTTGATTATCCAACGAGATATAGCATACCATAGCCTACCATAGCATAGAGTTCCTAGAAAGGTAAGGGAATTGAGAATATGCCCCTTGTTTCGGCAATTGTATCAAAAACCTTTACAACGTTTGCTATGCAACTTTAAGTGTTCATGTAAAGTGGTTATCCCGTGTTTATCCCATTGGAATATTCTTGCAACGATATAGTGAATAAATATTTATTACGAAAACGTAAACGGTTCTTCTATCTAAAATAGTTTTGGTCTTGATACTGGTAAATAAAACCTAATAACTTTAACCATTCGACTTTGAGAAGCCCTGTTTCCAACTTTATTTTATTTTTTTGTTTTTCTATGATAACACTGAGTTTAAGCCCCCTCACATATCAACATAGCCTATCCTCTAAACGCAGTCTTGCGCATAGAAAATTCGTTCCAATTAGCATATGTACGTTGTACATCGTTGGTGTGTTCGTAAGTATCCCTTTGGGAAGCTTCGAACATCTTCGGAAGCATGCGCAAAGCAGCGCTTCGGTTCGCATGTTAACGTCCCCAATCGCCAGAATTGACAATTTGTCCAATTTGCAAGATTGCGTTTAGGGGATTCGTTCATATGTGAGACGGCCTTTCAAGTTCAACATCCAGTCGCACCTATAATGCGAAATGATTATACATCTCTCATTACATAGGAATTATGAATCATTAGTTCCGAGATAACTGAATAACATAAATGGGAATATGATTAAACAAACTTTTTGAGGCGTATGATCTATTGTATCCAGTATTTGATGAGCATTGAGTGACATGTTGGCGTTCAATGCAATATTGTCCAATGCGAAATTACATCCTCTTTATTACGCAGCTTAGTCTCGTCTTTGATGAAGAAAAAATCTCTTCTTCATCCTATAGGTCTCGTTATATGATTCTATCCCTTTTAGGTCTATATACTAATCAACGTTATTGGGTTTTATTTGCATATCTATAATCACATATAGATGTACATTGATGCCTCTCTTGGGACATTTCGCGTGCCAAGTTATCGTAAGTGAGAAAGTCATTTTCAAGTGCATTTGAGGTAGGAACAGGAACAATACATTAGTCAAGATCGCATCTTTATTGACAAAGACGACCTGTTCTCTGACCTTTATTCAATAAACAATCAGTAATCAATCAACTAACGTCCACCAGTTTACTTATGTATTTGTAACTCTTAATTAATCTGTTAATGAGTAAGGGTCAGGGTATAAATCATCGTCCAATTATACATTTTTGGAAGCATTGAGCTCAAATCTCTTAAATTGAATATTTTCTGCATTGTGGAAATA